TCCTGAGCCAGGTATGGCTCCTTAACCAGGTGTGACTCCTAAACCAGGTGTGGCTCCTGAGCCAGGTATGGCTCCTTAACCAGGTGTGACTCCTAAACCAGGTGTGGCTCCTGAGCCAGGTGTATCAGAGGAGAGAAAAATGTCAGGGAATTAAACAAAAATACAAAAACTAAATGTATCTTCGAATCAATCACAAAACACAAAAATTCTAGACTCATTCAAAGTTTAAACTAAATATTAAAACGCACTTTTTATCTGTAATTAAACTGTATAAAAATAAACATTAAAACACAAAGCGCCACTTCCTTGCACTGGCAGCCTGTTTTATTTTGAAGGCGCAAACAGGAAGTAGTATGGTCACATGTTGCACCTTGACTCGGTTCTGCGGGAACATCCTGATGGGTGAATGATGGAGTCAGTGCTACAGACCATGTCCAGATAAACCCCCAGAACCACCTGGTTCTTGTGAGTCCGACCTCCTGAGTCCTGCACAGGTAACAGCACGTGACTGTTTAAAGGCGTGTCTGTGTGTTCAGACAGGTGCGTGTTCGTGTGTGTGTGTGCGCGCGCGACGCCTCCGCGGTGTAAAACATCTTTCCTCTCAGAAAGCTGAGTTCTGTTTGTTTTTCTTTTCAGGTTATTTCCGGTTTAGACGGAAATAATGTTTTTTATTAATACATTTTTTTAAAAACTGAACCAGGAAGTGAGGTTATGACGTCACAAAATATCCCGTTCCTCTCAAAATGTCTCAGAGAGGCAGAGCCTGAAAACCACCCTGCTGTCAGAGTTTACATTTGATGCTTTTAGGTTTGTTTAAAATATGTTTTTGTTAATTTTTTTAATAAATAATCTTCACGTTGTTTTTATTTTTGTTGATTTGGTTACAGCAATCAGCAGTTTATTATTGAAAATAATTCAAATAAATATCTTAAGACTTCAATGATTCACTTTATTTTAAACCTCATATTTAACACAGAATTATTATTTTTTTAAAACAACAATATATCAAGAACTTTAATCGTTAAAGATTTTAATTTAGATTATTTTTCAGAGAATGGGAGCATGAATAAAAATTGTTTCACTTTGTTTTCATTTAAAAAAAAAACTTGATGAGAAGATGAATCATGTAAAATATGTAAAAATAACATTACACATAAATAAAAAATAAAAAAGTTTTGATTGTAGGTAAAGATTTTATTATTATTATTCGTTAGCGCCATAAAAGAGAAACTATTCTGAAAAACTGACAAAAGAGTTAAAAAATAGAAGTTTTTTTATTTAAAAGTGCTAAAAACTTCCAAACATCTTCTGGAATATAAATATTTGTTTCCTTCTTTTTGCTTTTTATTTATTATTTTTCAAGTTTTATTAATAACAATTATTGTTTTTATGCACTGTAAAGCTTTTTGTTTTGCTTAAAACTGAAGTACAAATAAAGTTTGATTGAATGATGTCATAATGAAACATGGACTCTTCTGGACAGAACCTGTCTGCAGCTGAGATCGGCCCATTATTGACCAGATCCAGACCAGATGTTGTTTACAGTTGTTTGTTTGTTTGTGCAGCGTCATGTTGGCCAGGAAGGGCCTCCTGCCGGACGGCTTCTTGCTGACCCGGCTGGCAGAGGACCAGAACCAGCCGAACCGCAGCCATTCCAGGTCCCAGAGAGCCCGATTCATCACCAAAACTGGATCCTGCAACGTGGCTCACAAGAACATCCGGGAGCAGGTAGCTGATCCGGGTCCAAGTCTAGGTCTCCGTTTGGGTGCTGGACAGAGTTTATTGGACCCGCTCCAACCGATGGGTTGTTGGTTTGTTCTTGTCTCAGGGCCGCTTCCTGCAGGACGTCTTCACCACCATGGTGGACCTGAAGTGGCAGCACTCGCTCCTCATCTTCACCTCGGCCTTCCTCTGCTCCTGGATGCTCTTCGCCATGGCCTGGTGGCTCCTGGCCTTCGCTCACGGAGACCTGGAGCCCCGGGACCTGGACACTGAGCCGGGCCCCGTCCCCTGTGTCACCGCCATCCACTCCTTCACCTCAGCCTTCCTCTTCTCCATAGAAGTCCAGGTGAGACTTCGGAGGTCCAAGTTAGAGATAATAGGTCCAGGTGGGACTCTGGAGGTCCAAGTTAGAGACAGACAAAAGGTCCAGGTGGGACTCTGGAGGTCAGAGTTAGAGACAACGGGTCCAGGTGGGACTCTGGAGGTCCGAGTTAGAGACAACAGGTCCAGGTGGGACTCTGGAGGTCCAAGTTAGAGACAGA